TCCCACCATCTTCATCCCCTTGTGCTTCGTCATCGGTTTCATCATTCACTTCAGTATCGGCAGCAGTTTCATCTACTTGAGTGTTGCCAGTGCTTGTGTTCAAAGGGGTGCCTGTCGGCATTGCTGGAATGATTGCCATTTCCGACTCTAACTCAGCATTGTTTGCGGCATGATTGTTGGCTGGCTGGTGGAACGCGTCCTACGTGTGCTCAGAGCTCCCCGCAGTAGATGTCCCCGCGCCGCTGTTTACTGTAGTTGTAGGCCCTGTAATAGAAAAAACAGGTACAAGCGTAAGATTTTGCTTGAATAACATGTTTATTTGTAACGGATCACATCAATTTCAAGTGATTTGGCATGACGTCATTCAAACAGCAAGCCGTGAGTCTGTGTGTGGACATGCATGGCAACTGTAGTTGTCCAGTCATGGCAGCTACAGTCCAACAAACATGGCAACTGTTGTTTGCCAATGCACGACAACCAGCTCCTTTTTAGTACAAAAACTTTGGATTCTATATGCATGGCAGCTGCAGTCCTGCATACATGGCAAATACTGCTACCAATACATGGCAACCAGTGTGTTCTAGTATTAAAACTTTGCATTCTAGGATTGAGCTCACTAGGCAAATGCGATTAACCATTAGTGCTACACACATGCTTCTAGCAGTTGGCAAATTTCCGAAGACAATATATGACTCATTGCACACAACCACTTGTTAGCATTTTATGCTTGATTTTTGTCCACCATCACTGATACAATCTTCTTTTTTTTGTCATGTGCTATTTGCCACAAAAAAATGTAGTGCTCTTTTTGCGGTCCAATTTTTTCCTTGCCTTGTTGTGCTGCATGTGCCCATCTTGTGTGGTCTGTCTCACCAAATTGACGTGCTCTATCTGCAATCTGTGAAGCTTGCCATGAGACATTTGCCATGGTACCACCACCGTAATAACCTGTAAGCATCGTAATAGTTGGTCAATACATGGCAACTGCAGTTTGTGCTGGCATGGCAACTGCAGTTGTCCTGGCATGGCAACTGCAGTTGTCCTGGCATGGCAACTGCAGTTGTTCCTCCATGGCAACTTCAGTTGTCGAGGGAGGGGCAACAACACTTGTCCAGGGATGACAACTGCAGTTATTCATTCATGGCAATTGCAGTTGTCCAGTCATGGCAACTGCAGTTGTCAACTATGTTCCTTGTGCTAATTCACCGTCTGCAACTTCATTTTTTATGACTCACCTGTGTATGACGTCGATGGCAGGTACATGGGTGCTGCCTGTTGCCACGTGCTGCATGAAGGCTCTGTGTTTTCTCCCGACATAACTCATGAGTCTTTTGCCAACCTTTGCAAGTTTATTTTTCATGTCCAGACCAGTATGTGTTCTTTTTCGTATGCGTTACCTTGATTAGCCATATTAGCTAGTTGAAGTTGACTGCCCGTACATTTGTCAGTGTTAGCGCCCTGCGACTGAACTTGCCACGGAGCCCTCGTGAGTGTGGTTTGGTCATAAGAACCTGCAAAAATTGACAGTGTAGGACATAAGTAGAATGTCATCTTCATCGTCGCGAACATGGCAAATGTTCTTTTCTTTTGTTATCACGCATCATACCAATGCCTGCATACTGTTCTAGTAGTGGCAGCAACGGCCCTGCAGAAATGAGTTGACTGTACTCTGATGCATCCCAAGGGGGCGTTTCTGGTCTTTGAGAACACCAAGTATCAGCGCCATCTTCGTGATTCATTCTTTTCCGCGTCTCGTTTCTGCCAATGTGCTCTCAATCACTGCATGGACAAGAATACATCAACAATTCACAAAAAATGTATCCTTGTGCTGCTTGCATGTAGAAGTTAACACGTCAGTGTTATCACATTTTCATGCGTAGGCAACCAACATATCATGGCTAGTAGGACATGCACATCCACTATCTTTTCTAAAATCTGGGTGCTAGCTATCCGTTTGATTCGATGGCATCAGCCTTTACAATAGGATGGCAAGCAATAAGTTGACATGGTGGCAGTTGACGACAATAATAGGTGGCAACTGACGTTAGACACCAGTGGCAATTAATTTTCACACCCCCCATTATTCCAAATTTCTCAATTTTCTCTCCCCTTTTATGGATTCCTACACATCCAATCATTTTACCAACTATGTGCATCAATCTACTAAGAACTTACGGTTATCTCTAGCGTAGTACATGGCAGATCTAGTGTATTCTGCTTGGCAACTGTGAAGACACACAACCAATATAGTGTTTTACCCCTGTAGGATGGATCTAGTTGCCACCTTCGTCTGTAATTTTGCAATTTTCTGCGCAGAAAAAGAATGAGAAGCAGTAGGGAGGTCGGGAGATTCACCTGCTTTTAGCTGGTCGTCTTTGAA